TAAAGAATCTTCATGAGTCAATGAGAGTTTTTGCTTGTTTGACAGACAAATTATGTCAACTCTTGCATACATGTACTTTTGGCTTGTTTGATTGTGCACTGATGAGTGGCTTAGCTGCCTGACCTCTCACTTCTACTCAGCTACATGAAGTGCCAAGCTTCAAAACAATAGACTTTGCCCATAAAATATATTATTTTTATGTACAGCTTTAACAATTTACCTAAAAAAACCCAATAATAATCAATACAAGCTTCAATTGTGTAAAGTAGTACATAGACTTTGATACCATTCCATATACATGTATTTCACATGCACAAATGGATACAAATATAAACATATGTAACTACAAGTACATGTACACTAATACAGTCAAAGCTCCCGTAAGTGGACACCCTCAGGAAGCAGAAAAGGTATCCGCAACTGGAGCTGGCAGCTTACGGAAATGTGCAAATAGAGCTTGTATGAGCTAGAGTTCAAACAGGGTTTTGTCAAAGTGGCTGATAGTAGAGATGTCCACTTACAAGAGTGTCCGCTCAGAGAGCTTTGACTGTATATGTTATACTAATGCATATGTATCAGTAAAATAATATTGTAACAACAGTTTTTTTTCTGAAATGTGAATTATTGACTCACAAATGAAGTATATTTAAATGTAATCTTGAGACAACTTAAAAAAAAAAAAACATGTATGCACAATATACTGGTTCATACTTCATAGTTATACATGTAATAATCTCTTAACTGACAGTGTAGCCTGTGAATGCAGACATATTTCTGGTCTTGAGTATAATGTATGTCTGCGTTCGCAGGCTACAGACTGAGAGACTGCGTAGCTATACAATAACCATACAAGTGTTTACATGCTCATTTACTGAGTTATTGCCTATTACGAGGGCATACAACTGTATATACTAGCCTGCATGCAGACATCTCCTATTTCCCTTCCATGCAGGCTACATACCTATGAAACAGAGTAAATTCATTTGAAGTTTTGCCTGCATGAGTTAATTGCCTTTTAGAATTTTTGGTGGTTGATGTTAGTGATACATGTACAGTCGAAGCTCTCATAGCGGACCGCTCTCATAAGCGACCAAGCTCTAGTTACGACCACCATTATGAAACCCTGTTTGAATTGTCACTCAAACTCTGAAATTAAAAGCTATCGCAAGCGACCGCTCCGGCATCCGTAAGCGACCGCAGCCACTTTTGGGAATTACCAACTGATCGTTTCTTTCCTTTGTTTTTAAGCTCTCGTAAGCGACCATTTGTTGTGCTACACATTTATGAGACATTGTATTATTTGTAATCATCTGAAAAAAGATAAGTTTTCAATATCTGTGGATGCTCGACCTGTATATTCACTTTCATACATTTTGTAAGTGGCCAGCCATTATAGTTTCAGCGCGTGGTCGGCTTAGGACAGCCCATTCTCGTAAGCAACCAGCTCTACATGTAGTTACGACCACTTTTTCGAAATGCCAAGATGGTCGCTTATGAGAGCTTAAAACTGTATGTTTAAGTTTGTAACAGCTCAGTTTATATTCTAGAGATGTTGAGCAAATAATTTTTGAAAAGGAATTGGATCACTGTCACTGTTGCAGCCATGAAATATAGCGGCTTCAGTCAGGAACAATCATGTTGTTCTCCAGTAAAAGGACATGTGCTCAATACCAGGAATAAAAGGTATTTAATACTGTAACTATTTGAGGATTAATTAGTAGTGTGTCATAAAAGCTACAGGGCCTGGTTGTTCAAAGGATGGATAATGCTATCCTAATACACCAGATAAATCACTATCCAATGGATAAGTGTTAACAAAAAAAAACCTAATGCTATCCACTGGATAGTGATTTATCCAGTGGATAGCATTAGCCATCCTTTGAACAACTGGAATCATGCTTCACTATATTCAGCTCTGAAGTGCTTCATTCAAGCCAACCACGCACACAACGCTGTTTAAAAATAAAACAAAACAAAAGAAAAAACAAGAATGAAAATCATAGACTGCTTGAATAATTAAGCGAAGGTTTCCTTTAAAAACTGTCTGACTGAAGCAGCTACAAATATAATTTTGAGTTCAGTTGCACGAGTCTCGCACATGTTCTTTGGAAAAGACCGCTTGATATGCTTTCTATAACATCACCTACCTCAATCCTGAATACAAAGCTGAATGAATAAGATTCCCAACGAAGGTTTCAAGATGTTTTGCTTTATTTTAACGGCAAACAAAGCAAGAATCACAGAAAACAGTTCACCACGACTTTTATCGTCCGCCATGCTTGAATGAGATGTTTCATTGGTCGAGATTGTCACGTGTTACTTTTGACGCCTATACACAAATTGTATATTTACGTAAAAATGCACCCGTATTATTCAGAAGTTCCCGTAGTGTAGTGGTTATCACGTCCGCCTAACACGCGGAAGGTCGCAGGTTCGAGCCCTGCCGGAAACAATTTTTTTTTCTTTCTATTGCCGTTTTTGTTTCTTTTTCTGTTTTGTTTTGTATTTGTTTGCTTTCAGGGACGTTTGTTTATTAGTTTTTGAGTCAAGCGGGTGGTAGTAATAAAGACCGACCGCCTGACCGCCAGCGACTGAGTTTCTGTAAAAGTGAAAGTGGGGTAGGGACGGGTAGGGACAAAACGTGGGGCCATGGGGTAGGCCATGGCCTACCGGTGGTTAATTTCCTAAAAAAAATTGGGTAAAAAAAAAATCGCTGGCCTACCCCACGTTTTGTCCCTACCCGTGAAAGTGGCGACTGTCGAATATCCAGGACAAGCAAATTTTCTTTGGGATAACCGAGTTGATTTTTTTTCGGACTTTAGGTACGGGTCGCACTACAGCCAATTTTGACCAATTTTGTTTATTCAAGTGTCAAATCTGTCAACACGTAACGTAAAAATCGTAAAATACAGTGCGACCCCCAGTTTCAATTTTTTGCCAATTTTTTGCGAATTGCCAAATTTTCGCCAATCTTCAAAGAAGCCGAAGTGTTGCCCTGGAGGCGACCAATTTTTTGAAAATCACACAATTTTGTTATTTTAGCCCGTTTTAGCCATTAAACTGTCATTCACGCAAGATACTATGTTTTGATAATTAAGATTCGCTAGTTTAGCGCGTGCAACACCGGAAAACGAAGAAAATGAACATCGATATTACGCCGCGAATGTCTATGACTACACTGGGTCTGATCGAAACCAAAAAAAAAAATTTACCGGCGGCAATTTGGAGAACAATTCGTCTCAAGTTCAAAACAATCTCCTTCGATTGCAATTGAAGCCAGCATCAAGAAACGTAGACTTTCTAAAAGCCTTTCCAATATTATTTTTCCCTTTCGTTGGTTTTGGTTTCCTCTCGCGACGTTCCTCGATCGTTGTCGCGCGTCGCCCGGCTTCGCTCAAAGGAGACGACTTATGGCAAGTCTACAAGAAACGACGAAAACCAAGAAAGCGAAGTACGAAACCTGGTCCCAAGCCGTTTAAGTTTACATTTACATCAATCAGGAGAGTTTTGGAAAACACATCTTGGTTTGAGTGCGACCACCACCAAAATTTGGCACTTGCGAATTTTTTGCAAATTTTTCCTCGCCAAAAATTACAAAATTTTTTATGTAAACAAAATTGGCTGTAGTGCGACCCGTACCTTGGTAATGATCCGTATTTACATTTATATAATTTGCTGTGTAAAACTGTCGCTGTGATTTAATAGTTTAGAACTGTCATCTGCCGGACGTATGACGTCACGAATGGCGGGAAACATGCGCGCCCTGCCCCAACACGAATCCTTCGCATCGCCGTCTCAAAACAGAGAAATATTTTCACTCAAACTGGAGATATTCAGGATATCCGTAGGAATTCAACGTAGATCAATTAATACGAATTTTAAATCGGCTGTTTGGTGATTTGAAGCAAACATGATCGACTTTTAGGTCATTGTGAAAACCGGGATTATCGTTCGCCGTGAAGCGACTTACAGCAGGAATAATTCCGATTGTTTTTCCTCATATCAGGAAGGAATAGAGATTAGTTTCTAAATATTTGTTTTTCGAAACCTTTGCTAAGTTGAGCTGTAGTTTATTTTAAGCCGTTTAGTTTCACAAAGTTTTTATCAGTTTGGGTGCGTGAAAACACTGGCCTACTGACTGACTGTTGATCGGCATAACTTTTAACATTATACTCGAAGTAGATCTAATGAAATTGTGGTGCTGCGTCGGCGGGAAAGTGAAACCCACTTAGCTGATAAACAACTCGAAGTTGGTAAATTAACCGCCGTAGCGAATTTCTAGGCTGACGTTTCGGAGCAAAGTGGAGGATTGTGGGTTGTGTGTGTGTTTATATACTAGAGTGTATGGAGTTCCGTGATTGGAGGAGGCATGGTAACGGAGAATGCACGAATAAATTAATTTAAATCAGTGTGTTGAACTGTAAATGTAAATGAGTTTATTCCTGTTTAAAGATGACCTCAAGTGAAAATCGAGACTGAGCGAATTTCTCCGGCGAAATTATATAAAACAAATGGATTCCATTTGGCCGTGACGTGGGTCTGTTCACTATAGATCACAGAAGACGTCAAAATGTTGTAAGAACATCAGCGGACCAACTCGCCTGCGGCTGGCTCGTTTTTTTTCTTCTGGCCACATTTTGACGTCATCTGTGGTCTATAACTAAACAGACGCACGGCCAAATGGAATATATGTGTTAATATTAAAATAAAACGACTAGCTTGACTTGATGAAATGTATTTGAGATATAGTCCAAACATATTCGGATCTTCCTCGGCTATCTTCGGAAGTCTTCGGTAATCTTCCGAGTAATACACTTTACAAGTTTCATCAAAGCTGGTTTCGAAATCAAGTTATCAACTTTTTTTATAACTTTGACTACAGAACTTAAAAGTTGAACAATGCATGCAGCCTCTGATTGGTAGGAATTCGTTTTACAAATCTCATGAGTCAGTGTTCAATGGAAAATGATTTATGTCGAATGGGCGATTTTTCAGCACAAGACGCCATAGCTCAGTCCAGGTTAGAGCGCCTCGGCGAGCACTTGTAAACAACAGGATGTAATGGCCTGGGTTCAACTCCCATCGGTGCATGCCTACAGAAGTGAGCCATATACGTCTTCAATTATAGACTAATATACATAATAGGGTATAAATTGTTTGGCTTGAAAAGGGGGATGTTTAAGGGCGAGGTCTGAAATTGGCTACTAACAAGGAAAATCGCATATTTTAGTCTAAAAACCAGAAAGGGTGCAAATAAGCGGATGGCACTCCCCAACCACAAATTTCAATGCATCACCTTAGGCCATACCTTAGGCCATCCCCATAAAATAACTCGTTCCCATCGACTGACCGACCCGAAAAGTAAAACAACAAAAAACACACAAAAAATAAAAATTATGATTCATTGCCTGCGCCCTTTTCTCGGGTTTTAATAATTTTAAGATGCTTTGTTTACATCTTAAAGTCACTCTGGCATATCAATCAACCCTCATAATAAAATGTAGTATTATTCCAAATGTGACCGCATGCAGGATTACTATCTGATTACGTAAATAAATGCAATACAATTAAAACAAATTAAGCACAGGTTTTATAACAATCAGGCTCTTTTAATGATACATTTGTTAACTCATGACAACTTGATATCGATATAAAACTACTTTAAACTAGCAGGCTTTATTCCGTCTTTCCGGGTCGGCAGGGACGATCGGTTACTTAGTTACATGGCGTCTTTTTTGTCTCCAAGCTTGCCCAAGCATTCTCCAAACCTCACGAAACAACACAGCTTCTCCTCGCATGTCTCGCTGGCAATCAAGCAACATGGGATAATCGGCAGGCATTTTTTCTAATAGGAGGCAACAAAAAACAGAAATAACAGGTAAGAAGATGCATCATTAATTATTAAATAGCCAACGGGATGGTTATCATGTTGAAATCAAGTTAAGCCACGTGATGTCTCGGGGTGGGGGTGGGGAGGGAGGTGGTGGAGTGGAGCAACTAACAACTATATTAAGTCGCGAAATTTCAACCATTTTTTTTTGTATTCTTTTTAACGTTTTTTTCATAGCTACTTCGAATCTGGGTGTGCGGCACGCTTCTTGAAATCATTACCCTATTTCAGACCAAAATATGTGATTTTCCCTACCCTATTTCAGACCTGACACTTAAAATTTCGGGGAAAATTTCCCCATTTTAAAGTCAAAATGGCAAAAATATATACCCTATTTCAGACCAGTAGGCAAAACATACCCTATTTTAGATCAAATTTGTCAAAATCAATACCCGTTTTCAGACCAAAACGGCTCAAAAACCATACCCTTTGGCGCCGCACAGACCTATATAGCTTATATAAGGGAGTACGCCCCCACCCCCCGGCAGCTTACCCACCACTAAAACAAATAAAAAATAAAATCAAAAATGGCAGCAAAAATAAGATAACTGTTAAACAAAACAGGATCTATAAGTATGCATCAAATGCTGTTGAGATCAATACATACCATAAATGGAGGTGGTTCAACGCCTGCTCCGTGAAGACAAATGCCAGTTTTCTTGATGCACTCCAAATGCTCACAAGCATCTTCTCCAGCTTTCTTGTGGCAGAGAACTGCTTTAACTATGCACAATTTCTATTGAAACATTTCACAAATCGTAAATTTCACAAATAAATACGGGGTTCTAGGTGGGGTTCTAGGGAACAATCTCACCAGAGAATCCCCAGACCATGGTTTCACTGCACGTTTCCTGGGCTTGCTTTCTCTCCGCCTGGCATAATCAAAACCCAAGCTTTCAACACATTCGTTGTCCTTTTTGAAGTTTATACCATTTCAAACCGTCAACTTTATTTTAGTTTCTAGGTATTCAGCCTATACATCGGGGAAATCAAATGGAACTGACTGACGGTGGTAGCGACTGATTAAGCACTAAAAGTCTTGAAAATCAGAATTTATTTTTTATAATGGGTTATACGTTTAGCTTTAGTAAAGGTGATCTTCCTTTGGAAATTTTGCTAATCATAAATCATGTAAATATGAATCACCTTTCCCAGGAAACTTTGTTACGACGTACAACATATATATCTTATGTGTTTTTTTTTGACTCACAGACTGACAATTACAGGATCTAAAAAAACTTTTATTTTAAAATCCTAAATCACCTTTACGTTCAAATGTATGAGTACTTACGACATCCGGTGGCATCGGTGGCATACCGCTTGGTCGAATGCTTGGTCGGAAGCTGGGTTTGAAGTCGTTTAATTTGACGAAGCTGCGAACCTTCCTCGCCATGTCACGATCTTCCATCTCGAGATAATGCAAGATGGCTTGGGGATGATATTCCATCTCCGCCCGAGCATACACGGCCACTGCCGCGAGGAAGAGCAAAGTTATCATTGACTTCATGTTGACGCGTCTAATCTGTGCTCTCGTGGAAACACGATGTGCAAAGAGAAACTCACGCTTGTTTATATAGAGAAGGGGAGACCTTGTTGTGCATGCTCGGCCTCGTACGTTCACTGGGACAAAAGCACTTAATTTGTGTGTGTTTAAACAGCTTTTTACTACTTTGTTCGCTTTGTGCCTTTTATGCAGTAAATTGAACCCTTTTGAAATTGAAAATACAAAGTCAACATGTAATCGCCCAAAACTTCCACTTTTGTTCTCTTGTTTGTTTTCTTGATCATCGTCCGAAAATCATGTTCTTTATACCTTGTGTAATTACCCTTATTTGAACACCTAATTAACCGTAATGAGTTGTAGTTTTGTCTGACGTGGGCGTTCGACGTCGATTTTTAACCTTATAACTAACAAAATGCTTTAACATTTATTTTAACCTTTTATTACTGAGTCAAAGTAAAGCTTTGGTAACTGCAATTTATTGATGCCAAATAAAAAAATCGTGATAATCGTCCAAAAATCATGTTCTTTGTACCCTGTGTAATTATCATAATTTGAGCACCTAACTGACCGTGAGGAGTTTTCGTGCATGGTCCAGGCTTACGACGTCGATTTTTAAATGTTAACTTATATTACCGAGTCAAAGTAAGGTAAACCTTTACAATTTGTAACTGCAATTTATTAATTCCAAGTATAAAAATCGTGACTCAGTTGTGAGTTTTTTTTGTGAGTTTTTGATGAGAGAAACAGTGTCGAAAACTAAGATAACAACAAATAAATCAAAGAATGGGTCAGGAATTGTACACTGATAGTTCTTACCCTAACCTCAACGTATTAACCTTAGAATGTCTTTCCTTCTCCTGAGCCATCATCATGTTGCTGGAAACGGAGGTGGAGTAAAGTAGATTGTAAAAGTCGACTGTAAGATTTTTTAGACTTCAGTCTAAGAGGGTCCTGAAGGGGGGCGAGATTCTCAGTTATCTCTAAAATTTTGGTCATTTCTCAGCTAACTGTTAAAATTTTAGCCATTTCTCAGCTATCAGTTAATTTTGACAGATCTCATTCTCAGTTATTAGTTAAAATTTTGGTCATTTCTCAGCTAACTGTTAAAATTTTAGCCATTTATCAGCTATCAGTTAATTTTGACAGATCTCATTCTCGGCTATCAGTTAAAATGTTGGTCATTTCTCAGCTAACAGTTAAATTTTGGCCAATTCTCAGCGATCAGTTAACCTCTTCTAAGATTTGTCACAAAAGTATTCTTTGGATTTCACGCCTTTTCTTTCTTCTGGGCCGGGAGAACGAATCAAATTAGAGCATCACAAAACCTCACTGCTTTATTGTCAGTAAATGTAAGATTTAAGATATTACAATAAGATAAAAAATACTATGATAAAAAATACAATACTAATTACTATATAAGAGGCTAAAAAATACGTTACTAAGAAGTTATGAGAGGTATACTAGAACACACTCTTCTGCATGATCACTGAGAACTTTGGCAAACTTCGAAGTACATTAGACGCGAGGAAACGTTTACAAAAGCTTTGCTGCTAGAGTTTTTTGTTTGTCGTCATTACCCGAATAAAGGACACATATATATATTTACTCTCTCACAAAGCCATCAGCAGAATTTTTTTGTATTGACTTTAGAAGTTCAGTTTCGAAGCTGCTCAGATTTTTAATTTGCTTCTTTAATTGCATTGTTTAATCTGACGCCTATTCAAAAGTTAAGATAAATGTTTGTGCAAAAATGTTTTTTTCATCACCAAGAAATCATTTCACTTCGGTCCATCCTCGCAACAACTTGCACCAACAACAATAACAATGTCGAGTGAGAATGCAATTAAAGTTACTCGAAATTATTTCAGAGTTCATTTTCAATTTTAACCGTGAATTCTAGTTAAATGATTCGAGAAGTCAGAAAAGGCGTGTGTGCATGATCAAAGGACGAAAATCTTACTCAAAATGGAAGATTAAGAAACATGCGCATGTAACAGATATACTGGACTATAATTTAGTGATCATGCCGCTTGAGTTACCTGAGTGACGCTTCGCCACGCAAAATTCAACAAGTATTTACCTATCATCAACAAAACCTAGCAAGTTTTGTATTATTGATATCTGGGAAAACAAAGATTTCGTTGCGAAGATGTTTCACAGCTGGTCAAAGTTTTAATTTGCTAATTTGCTTTTTTTGTTTATTTGACGTCTCTCCAAAAGTAAAGATAAATATTTCATTAAGAACCATGTCGAAATGAACAACGGCCCATGCACTTAACTTTCAAAGTTCACTCTCTGAAAGTTTTATTCCCTCAATTAAACATGACCCAAAGGTTGCAACCCTTTTAACCTCTATCATGTTTTTCGTACTAAGCTGAACATATATTACATCACAGAAACCTAGCCGTAAGTACTGAGCTTAACTAAACTGACGATTCAGGAAGGGGAAAGACGAAAAAATGCTTTGGGACTCCGGGAGTTTAGCTTGAGCGAAACTATATAGCAAAATTCCAATTAACTTATTGGTTAATATGGCAGGCCGGAAGACCCTTGAAGATAGCAAAAACCACCAAAACGTAATAAAGGGCCGCTTAATATCAATAAACCTGTTGTTTTTTCAGAACAGAAAAGTTTTCTAGTTTTGTTTTTGTAGAAATACTGGACATATAATATTTCATTCAGTTTTAGGCTAGGACAATATTAT